CATCTGTTAAGATAATAGGGACACAAGCTTAATTAGTAAATAAGGAATTAGCATATAGCTAACATGCAAGTATTAAACAAATCGCTTGCAAGACACAGTCAGTCTATACAAAGAAGACTTCTATAGATAACGCGAAGCGAAGAGCCCTCTAGGCTTAACGTGGGGCGTGGTGTGTAATGGTGGCCACTAAGGAGACTGTCTGCACAGCCTGAGAGGACAGTATACGCGTGTTGGTATATAAAGAGTCTGGGCCAGCTATCTCACTCGTACTAAGAGCCTGCGAGGAGTGTACGTTTTGTATATAAGTCAAAGTGATATCGTTCTAGCTGGATGCTAGTGCTATATGCTTAAGGAGTAAACTACAATTAGAGCGTAAGCAAGGGCTTTGTCTACCTGAACTCTGAAGCATCTTGCCTTGAACAGTAAATGCAGGAAAGCGTAGCAAAGACCTAGTAAAGAGATATAAACTCTACGTTATATTATTTTATAAAGAAAAGCTACCTTAGTCGACATAGAATAGTATAATAAAATTATAAGCATATACAGTAATGCTTAAGAAACTAGGAAAAAGCGATTACACAAACCTAGGAGCATATAGACTAATAGCTCTTCTTAACACTATAAGAAAGATTCTAGAAGTAGTTATCTCAAACCGAATCAAATATATAGCTGAAGCATATAATCTGCTCTCTGACACTTAATATAGCGCACGTACAGGCCGAGCTATAGAAACAGTACTCTAACAGATTACAAAGAAAATACATACAATCTAGGGAAGAGAAAGAAAAAGGATAGCCAGTCTTTTATTACTAGACGTCTCTAAAGCATTCAATAAAGTCTTACACGCTCAGCTTACTCATAATCTAAGAAAGAGAAGAATCCTAGAATCACTCGTACAATAGGTAACAGATTTCCTCTTAAACCGCTATACAGAAGTGAAAGTTAATAACTTCACGCTACCAGAGGCACTAATAACAGTAGGAATCCCTCAGGGATCACTAATATCACTGATTCTGTACCTCTTTTATAATGTAGACCTCCTAAAAAGCTGTAAGAATATCCGACTTTGTATAAGCGCCACAGGTTTTGTAGATAATGTTAACATTCTTATATATAGTAAAAGTGCAAAGCAAAACTGTCTAAAGCTAGCAGAGATCTATAAGAAATATCAATTATAGATAAAGAAACACAGCTCCAAATTCTGTCTTAATAAATATAAACTTATATATTTTAGTCGTATAAAGAAGAAATTCAATATATCGGCAGAAATCAATCTAGGAGATCAGAGCATAGGCCCTAAAAGCGACATCCGCATTCTGGGAATGAGACTAGACTCAGCGCTGAGATAGCAAGCACACATGCGAGCAGTTAAAGCAAAATCAGTCCATATGATCAGTGCCCTTCGTACAGGATCACAGGCTCAACATAGGAAGCTCCTTAGAGACAAGTAAACAAGTATATATAACTGTTATCCGCCTAATAATTACATATATAGCTAGTATATAGTATACCTCTTAAAGAGTTAAGGGCCATTAGAAAGGGATTAGAGTAAAGCTTCAGAAGATCTAAGGAAAGTGCCTTCGCATAATTATAGGAGCGTATAAGGCCACCTCAACAGAGGCTTTAGAGGTAGAGACCTTTACCCTATTACTAGATCTTTATACTAAGAGACTAGCGATTAGGGCGATCACCAGAATCTGTATAACAAAAGCGGCAACTAGCATTAAGGAAATATGTAAACGAATCTACAGGCAAACAACAGGCAAAAGGAGGAGAACAGTAATCTCTCGAAACTCCCTAGCAGATTATATAAACATCTAGGCAGACTAAATTATTATCTTATTCTATTATTAAAATAGACAATATTATAACAAAGAAACAACTAGTACTAATCCTTATATATATTAATCATAAATAATAATTTAAACTCTTTATCTTTTACTTTTAAGTAGAAGAAATCTAGCTAATACTAATATATATTAAAGTACTTATTAAGAAGACAAAAAAGCTAGATATAAAAGCATAATACATTATTTATATCTATATTAGAGACAGAGATTAAGAGCTTATAAAAGAATATATATTAATAAAAGAAGCGTAAGATATATTAAGGAAGTGTAAGATATACTAAGGAAGAAATATATAAAGACAAGACTATTAATAAACAGATATTACTTATAGCAATATATTAACTATTATAAGAAGCCTAAGAAGAGTATAAAAGATGTATAAATAAAGATTTAGCGCTTAGGAAGATATACAAAAGCGACTAATAACTTACTTAAAACATTTATTATATAATACTAGATGTTCTAATAGCTTCTTGCTTCTCTTCTTCTAAAGTATAATATTATACAAGATACTATTAATAGTCAAGAAGAGCATCTCCTTAATATTAAACCTCTTATATAATGACTTCTTAAGAAAGAATCCTTACTAAGTAATACTTTTGTCATCTTTAAGCAATATTATTATTCATTAATAAAATTTCAGTCATCCTCTAGCTAATAATCATCTTAATAATTCATAACACATGAACGCTATCTTTAATCTCAAGAAAACATAACCTCGCCTTAAGAATGCCTACTATAATAGCTAAAATGTTTTACTTATTAAGAGAATTATAAATAGCGGAACTGCCCTTATATTAAGGAGCATATAAAAGAGATTAAAGAGATTATTAATAGGGCTTAAGCAAGTCAATATAAGAGGAGCAAGCTAAAGGCGAGAGTAGTTAAGGAAGAGAGCACAAGTACAAAGGACTTCTTCTTTAATTCTGAAAGCAGAGCAGAAGTCTATCTTACAGCATCAGAGACACTAACTTATAAGACCCCTAAGTAAATTGCTAATACTAGTATATTTAACTATATAACTAATTAGCTTTCTCTCTTTAAAGGACCCTTAAGAAGAATCAAAGAAATAATAATAAATTTAGCAAACTTAAGATTATATATTTAAGAGGCAGAATATACTTAGATACGTATAAAAGAGGGAGTAATAACCTTATTAAATATATTATATATACCTAATCTAGGCGCTAGCCTTCTTTCTAGCTCTTTATTATACAAATTAGAGCTTTTAAGCAGTTTTGATAAAAAGGCCTTATATATATAAGATTAGAATAATAATATAATTCTTAAAGCTATTAGATATAAAGGTCTTTATATTATTAATTAAATAAGTCCTGAAGTAATAAAGTTTACTTATTCTATATAACTTACTTTAATAAATTTAATTATATATAGTATAGCTAAATTTAATATACTGCTAAAGCCCTTTATCCTAAAAAAGATATTACTATAGACTATAGTTTATAACGCTCTTTTTAAGCTACTTACTAATTATAATTAATTAATAGTCTCTAAGAAAGCTATAACTAATATTATAAAGAAATAATATTAATTATAATATAAAAAGGTTTGCTTATATAAAGAAGAAGAAACTATAGAATCTGTATAAGATTATAATATTATAGAAAGCGATTTATAAGCTAAGTAAGATAAATATCTGTAAAGTAATGTGGTTTATAAGTAGCCTGCTTATATAAGTAACCCGCCTACTTTTCTTCTACTTCGCAACCTTCTGACTATCATACGCAACCACAACATAACAACATAATAAATTCCTAATCTCAAGAAGCCAGAATCCTCCTTACTATTCAGGTTATCTGTACAAACCAGGAAATGTCAATCCGATGTGCTGCAAAGACGTATGATGTCCCTTGAACTACCCTCCGCGATTAAATGAAGGGCTGTACCCCGAACGCCGAAGTACGTAAAGCTCAACATAATTTGACCCTGACCAAAGAAGAGACCCTCGTACGACATATCCTTGACCTGGATTCGCGAGGATTCCCGCCCCGGATCAACGACGTACGAGATATGGCCGACCTTCTCTGCAAGACGCGTTATGCGAAGCCTGTTGGCAAGCAGTGGCCATACAACTTTGTACAACACCGCCCTGAGCTCAAGACGCGTTTTTCGCATGCGTACGACTTCCAGAGAGCCCTTTGTGAAGATCCCGACCAGATAAACGCGTGGTTCCGGCTAGTGATCAATATGCGTACGAAGTATAGCATCCAAGATTGTGACTTCTACAACTTTGATGAGACAGGCTTTATAATGGGAGTCATCTGCGGCAATATGGTAGTCACCTGCGCAGATCGATCTGGTTGAGGTAAGCAGCTTCAGCCTAGCAATCATGAATAGGCGACAGCAATCAAGTGCGTGAGTAGTGATGGCTTTGTACTACCATTATTCTTGATCTTGCAAGGTATTAATCATCTTGCCTCTTAGTATACTAAATATAACCTTCCTAATTCTTAGGTGATCAAGACCTTAAGCAATAGCTAGACAAATAATAATATAGCTTTAGATTAGATTAAGCACTTTAATAAGCATACTTTTATATAACAGAAGAATATATATTAAATAATTGTCTTAGATAATTATAAAAGTTATTTATTTATCTAGTTTAAAGAATTCTATAAAGAAAAAAATATTATTATTCTTTATCTTCTTATATACTCTTTTTATCTTACTTAATTATTAGATATTAGTTATTTTAGTATCTTAAAGCAATTATATAATAAAGAACTTAAGGATTTTATTAAAGCTTATATTAACTATATTATTAAGACTAAATTTCTCCTTGCCTTTAAAGCCGCTTACTTTAATATAATAATAGCTGAAAACATTAAAGCTAGCTTCTAAGGTACTAGTCTTATGCTATATAACCCTTAGGCTATCTTATCTAAGCTTGATATTAAGTTACAGACGTTAATACCAACTAGACCTCCTTCTTCTTAGGCTGACTTATGGGTCTCTTAGACACTATATAATTCTAATAATACTGTTTTATAATTAGAGCACGTATGAAATCAGATTACTAGATATCAAGAAAGCTCTCTGACTAGTGTTTTTTCAGCTGATATGTATAGCCAAATATTGCCTAGTTAGGTTATTCCTAATCAGGTATAGTACAGGATTTCATGTGCTAGTAGCACAGAATATACCACGTGATCTATGCGCTAGCAGGATCTGCACTTGATATATAGATACACTATAATCTTACTCTGTATATAAGTTATGACTATTAATAGTATTAATAGCTGTTCTTATCTGTATACCTGTTTAACAAGTTATAAGCCTAGTACAGAACAGCTATAGATATTAATAATAAGTAAAGGCCTAATTAAGATTACTAAGTAAGCTACTACTCTTGTAACAAGGTATAGTTATATTATACTTAATTATA